GCATCCAGCGTTGCACTCGCTTCTACCGCACAGCTCACTTACGAAGTCTGGAAAAGAGACTTCGAATAGAATTAAGAGAAGTTCTTCGGCAAGAAGAGATGCTCTTAATTCAAAAGGCAACGAGGGACTGGCAATTCCTAGGCGACCGCAATACATCTTTTTACCACAAGCAGGTCAAGCACTGGCGACGCTGCAACCGTATCACAAAGATGAGGACCGAGGATGGCACTAGAGTGACTGATCCAGTTGCCCTTAGTCGGATGGCGATGGTGTATTTTGAAAAGATTTACACTGATGAGTCGCCCACTGAACGCGGTCGAACCCTGGATGGCGCGTTCCCCATTTGTGCTGATGTTAGTGTAAGTGCCATGTCCCAGGACATTCTGGATGTGGAGATTGTGCAGGCCTTACGGAGTATGGGTCCACTGAAAGCTCCGGGCCTGGATGGTTTGAATGCGTTGTTTTATCAAAAGAATTGGGACATAGTGGGGCCTTCCGTTTGCGAATTCATCAAGAGGACGTGGAGGTCTGGCATGGTCCCTGACGGGGTAAACCGCACTCTCTTGGTGCTTATCCCTAAGGTGGAGAATGCAATGACAATTAAACAATTTCGGCCCATAAGTCTTCTTAACGTGGTTTACAATATCTTCACTAAGGTGTTGGTGAATCGAATGAAAAGCACCCTCCCAGACCTGGTTCACCCGGCCCAGGCTAGCTTTGTTCCCGGTTGCCATATCACTGATAATATTGTCATCGCGCAGGAGCTCATACACTCCATGCGGGGGAGGCGCGAGGCCACCGGCTTCATGGTGGTCAAGGTGGATCTTGAGAAGGCCTACGACTATCTTCGATGGTGTTTTGTTGAGGAGACACTTCGACTAGCCGGTTATCCTGATAAATTCATCACAGCAGTCATGGCTTGTGTTCGGTCGGCCTCGATGAGCCTGTTGTGGAATGGAGGAATTGGAGAAGAGTTTACGCCATCCCGGGGGGTCCGCCAGGGTGACCCTCTCTCCCCTTATCTTTTTGTGCTATGCATGGACAGATTGGCACAACAAATTTGTGCGTCCGTTGAGGCCCGTGAATGGCGACCGATTTCAGTTGGGCGGGGAGCGGTCAAGATCCCATTCCTCATGTTTGCGGATGATTTGTTACTTTTTCTGGAGGCGTCGGACGATCAGGTCTTAGTGCTTTCGCGACTACTTCATCACTTTTGTGCAGTCTCAGGCCTCAAGGTTAGCGAAGCAAAGACACAGGTGTTCTTTTCCAACAATGTCCCGACACCGGAGCAACACCGTCTAGCTTCGGCTCTCAACTTTACTCTGACTGAGAATCTTGGGAAGTATTTGGGAGTCCCAATTCTCCATGGGCGTGTTTCGCGTTCCACATATCATCATATTGTGGAGAAAGTGGATGCGCGGCTAACGGGCTAGAGTATGAAATCATTATCCCTTGCAGGTAGAGTGACCCTCACTCAGTCCGTTCTAAACTCTCTACCGTACTATACAATGCAAACGGCTCTCCTCCCAAGTGCGACCTCCGAGGAGTTAGCGAGGAGATCCCGTGCCTTTGTGTGGGGTGGAACGTGTAACCGTAAGCGAATACATCTGGTGGCATGGAAGGATGTGTGTATGCCACGTGCGGAGGGTGGGTTAGGACTCTGAGATTTGCGCCGAATGAATGAGGCTTTATTAACAAAACTTGGGTGGGGCCTCTTGACGAGTCCGACGGCTTTATGGGTGCGTGTCCTCAAGGCCAAATATGGTTTAGATTTCTTCGGCGGGCTGCATACCGTTAAGTGGCGTGAAGGGTCCTCTTTATTGCGAGCTATCCGGGCGGTGTGGCCGAAAGTTATGATGAAGGTTCGGTGGATTGTAGGCAATGGTGAAACGGCCAGGTTCTGGCTCGATCCCTGGCGGATCGGAGGGTGCTTTGATCGAGCGCGTATTGGATAAACATATGGTGGAGAACGTGAATGCAAGAGTTTTTGAACTCGTGACTGTCCGGGGGGAATGGAACTGGGACTGTCTCCATGGAGTGTTGCCGTCATCGGTGATTCTTCATCTTGCTGAAATTCCAATCCCTCGACCGACGGCGGGTGATGATCGGCTTGTTTGGAGTACCTCTGAAGATGGGCGATTTACGACTGCCTCTGCTTACCGAGCTCTGTCGCCTTGCACCCAAGAGCTGGAACCCCAAATGTGGCGCATAATCTGGCGTGCTCAAGCTCCTCAGCGGGTACGTACATTTTTATGGTTGGCTGTAAAGCAGCGGCTCTTGTCTAACGCCGAACGTGTAAGGCGTCATATTGCGGTGTCCGGGGCCTGTGACTTATGTGGTGGTGATGAGACAATAACGCATATTCTGTGGGACTGTCCTCCGGCGAGGGAGCTGTGGACTCACCTATTACCAGCGGCTAGCCTCCAGGCTTTTTTCGGTCTCGAGTTCAATGATTGGTTGCGGAAGAACCTGTTGGCAACACGATTGGGGAGTGTTGACCACTGGGGTTGCTTGTTTGCTTTTACAGTATGGAGATTATGGTCCTGGCGAAATGACCGTATATTTTCTGCGACAAGCCTTAGTGTGCCGGCGATGCGTAGCGTGGTGGTGAGCGACTCCGACAACTACATGAGGGCGGCGGCAGATTACCGGAACGTCGGGGCCTGTATTTATGGTACACGCATGGTGAGGTGGACTGCCCCGATGGCGGGATGGGTCAAAGTTAACGTCGACGGCTCGGTCGCTCGTACTACGGGCTTGGGCACCGCCGGGGGCCTGATACGTGACGAGATGGGACGTTGGATTGTGGGGTTTGCTATGAACATAGGGACGAGCACGGTCCTCGGTGCCGAGCTTTGGGGAGTGATTCAGGGATTAACGCTAGCTTGGGACCGGGGATTCCGACAAGTTGAACTTGAAGTCGACAATTTGAGTGTTACGCGACTGGTATCTCGTTTGGATGGGGGTGTTGGTTCTCATCGTCACATGGTGCGAGACATCCATGACCTTCTTGCTAGAGCGTGGGAAGTGAATATTCAGCACGTATATCGTGAAGGAAATTTCGCGGCGGATTTTGTAGCTCGCCATGCGGTTACGTACCCGATCGGGGTTCACACATTACCTTCTCCACCTCCCGACTTGAACATTTGGCTCGAGAATGATAGTATGGGGGTGTCGCTCCCCCGACAAGTCCTAGACTAAGCACTAGGCCTCTTTCTTTGTACCAAAAAAAAAAAAATTATGTACTTGTAGTATTTTTCAATAAATTGAGCTTCTTGTTTAGTGGTGATACTAAACTCGTCTTATTTATGCAAATGTTGCAGACAGTCGGGTTCATAAATTAGGATAGAGGGCATTGTTTGCGGGAAATGTGGTGGTTCTGTTACGGTATCATCCTGTCGTGTGTTTTAACCGTTGCATACCAATATAGTTAGTATAAGATAGGATAACACTACAACTGGTGCAATAACCGGTTTACCCGATTGGTAAACCGATTTATCGAGTTTGTTCTACTTGGGTTAAGTTGAACACCGAAGGATCTTTCAACTGACTGACCGGAGTCACCGGAGGTTGGAGTCTGATTAGAGATCACAACAGAGCTCTCATTAACGCCTTCCGCGCCCTCTTCAGGCCTCCTCGAGCTACGACTTGGAGGTTCAAGTGCTCAGATCGGTATTCAAATTGTAGCCTCTATCGCTACTTAGCCTCTATCGCTACTCACATTTGTATTGAGGTTGATGTTGCTGTTGTCGCCACGCTATTGACCTCAGGCCACTAGGGCTCGTGGCAGATTCAGCACCCGCTCATGCGCACCAGATCTACATTTTAGTCGGTTCGCTACCGGATATCGTATATCTTCCGCGAGGAAAATCGACCCGCCGACTTCCTAGCCAGACTTGGTGCCTCCACTTTGAAGAGGAGCACTTTCCACCCAAACGACGCCCATCTCCGCCTTCGTACTCATGTGCGAATGGACCAT